CGCCCCCCAAACGACACGAAAAGCTGCTCAGCGCGTCTGAACGCGGCAGCGCGCGTAGTGTACAATCTCAGAGCCCGCACCGGGCAGAGGAGATTGGCGTCGCGCTCACTATCGGATGAAGGCAGAGCCGATAGGGAAATAATCTGAGCCCTGAACGGGGTACCAATCGCCTTCGGGACATAGCCATGTCTAGGTTTGAGAATGACAACAGAATCATTCGGTCCAAACTCGAGACACGCGGCGCTGGATGAGAGCGCGTGAAGATCCCCCACGCGTTTTACTGAGGACAGAGCCGTCAGAAAAACGGTTTTGAGCGAGAGGTATTTTAGGTCCACAGACTCGAGCGGTTCGAACGGGGGTGCTTTCATTGCTTCGAGAACTATAGAAAGATCCCAGATAGGAACCGAAGGGGGGCGCGGAGGGTTCATCCTCTTAGCTCCCCTGAGGAAGCGGATGACTAACTCGTCTTTGCCCAGGGACTGAGCGCGTCGGGGTTCAGAGAACGCCGCGACGGCTGCCACGTAAACCTTGAGAGTGGAGGGGGACCTGCCCTTGTCCAGCATCTCTTGAAGGAAAACAAGCAAAGACGGCACCTCGCATGACCGTGGGTCCAGATGTTTGTCGGTGCACCATTTTGAGAACACAGACCATTTAGACGCATAGAGCCTTCTCGTGGAGGGTGCTCTAGCCTGTATGATAGTGTTTCTTACTCCTTCTGGCAAATCGACGAATAGTCGTTGATCACCCATGCATGTAGCGCCCAGCGCCGTGGATGGGGGTGCCAGATCGTGCCGCGAGCTTGAGAGAGGAGATCTGCTCTGACTGGGATGGGCCACGGGGCTGTCTGTGACAGCTGAGTGAGCTCCGGAACCCAATTCTGACTCTCCCAACGCGGGGCTATGAGGAGCACCGAGTGGCGTGAGTCCCTGATCCTCTGAATTACCTGTGGTAGCAGAGCGATCGGAGGGAATGCATAGAGCGGGCGGCGAGGCCATTCCTGGGCTAGCGCGTCCTCGCTCCTTGAGAAAAATATTGGGCAGTGAGCGTTCTCTTCTGACGCGAAGAGGTCCACTTCTGCTCTGCCGAATAGCCGCCACAGTATTTGGACCGTTTGTGTGTTGAGGGACCATTCTCCTGAGGAGATGAGGTTCCTGGACAGTATGTCTGGACCGTCGTTCAGATGGCCCGGCACATGCGTCGCTCTGAGCGAGAGCAGGCGGCTCTGAGACCAAACTAAAATGCGGTGTGTCAGTAGGAAGAGATTCCTGGATCTGACACCGCCCTGACGGTTGAGATAGGAGACCACAGCCATGTTGTCCGAACGGATCAGGACGTGGTGTCCCCGAATGAGCGGGAGGAAGCGCGAGAGCGCGTTCTCGACCGCAAGCATTTCCAGACAGTTTATGTGTAAAGGGCTTTCCTGTGTCGACCAATGGCCGAAGGCCGGTGAGCCCTCGCAGACTGCACCCCAACCCGTGTTGGATGCATCTGTCAAGATGACTTTTCGGCGGGAAAAGGTCCCCATCGTGACGCCCTGCCGAAACCATTCTGCTACTGTCCATGGCTGCAGCGCCGTGAAACATGTCTGCGTAATCCTGATCAGCTGGCGGCCCGTGTTCCACGCGCGGTGGGGTACACGGCTGTTTAACCAAAGCTGAAGCGGGCGCATGTGCAGAAGGCCCAGCTGAAGCACAGCGGAGGCTGAGGCCATGTAACCCAGCATCCTCTGAAAGGTTTTCAGAGGTGTGCGGGTGCCCATCTGAAACGAGGCGGCTAGTCGCTGAACACTGCGCGCGCGCTGTGTGGACAGGCGAGCCGACATCGTGACCGAGTTCAAATCTATTCCTAGAAAGGAAATCGATTGACTGGGTTGAAGGGAGCTCTTTGTCCAGTTGACAGAGAGGCCCAGCGTTTTCAGATGGTCGAGGAGAATTGCGCGGTGCGACAGAAGCTCCGTCTGTGATGGGGCCAAAATCAGCCAGTCGTCCAGATAATTCAATATGCGCAGCCCCTGACTCCGCAGGGGGGCGAGCGCCGTATCCATGCACTTCGTGAATGTACGGGGCGCCAGGGATAAGCCGAATGGGAGAACGGCGTATTGATAAACATGACCCTCGAAGGCGAAACGTAAGAATGGCCTGTGACGGGGATTTATCTGGATCTGAAAATAGGCGTCTTTCAGGTCTAGAGAGATGAACCAGTCCCCCTGGCGCACCTGCGCGAGGAGTTTCCTGGTAGTGAGCATCTTGAACGGTCTCTTCATGAGCACTTTGTTCAAAGACCTGAGATCTAAAATCGGTCTGAGGCCGCCGTCTTTCTTGGGAACAAGAAAATAACGGCCGTAAAACCCCGACTCGGTCATAGATGGTGGGACTCTCTCTATGGCGCCCTTTTGCAACAGCGTCGCAATTTCTGAGCGGAGCGTGCCGGCGGCCAGCGGGCTGACAGTAGATTCGAGCCGCGCGCGCGCACGAGGCGGGCGGCGGCGAAACTGTAGCAGATAGCCGTTCTTTATAATGCTTAGTACCCACGGGGAAATGCCTGGAATGGCTTCCCACGCTTTGGAGCATGCGGCTAGTGGCCGAATGGCTATATCACCCTGATTGCTGCACATAGCGGGCTGGACACAGTGTGTGGGCGCGCTTTGAATGTGTGTGGCAACGGGATTTGCACTCAGAGAGGAGTCTATGGGCCGTGAAACAGAGCGAGCAGAGAGGGGACACGCGCACGAGCTCGTGGGCGTGTTTATGTTCTCTGATATTAGAGCGGGCTGTGCCCGTTTCATGTGATGGGGCTCTGATAGAGACACGGGATATGTTATGCTTGTGTGTATGGGTGAGCACATGATTGTGGGCACATTTTCTACACAACTGGCAAATTTTCTCTTTTTGAGATTTCTCTGGGGAGCCGTAAAAACGGCTTTTTGTCGCTCGCAAGCGGGCTGGGACACCGGCTTGTTTGTGGCGGTCAACACTACAGCAGTCGGCGAAATAACGGGGACTGGCAGAGGGCGAAGCTTTGACGGCGGTCCGGCCGCAGCGGGAGAGCACCGTCGTTTTCTTGACTTTGCTAGGCAGACTTCTGATGATCAGGCTTCAGCGTGATCTTAGGTCGCGGGCCTCGTGGGGGCGGCGGTCTGCGGCGGCTGTCAGAGCGAGAGCGAGGGCGGCCGCCCTGTCTGCGCTGGGCTGTTTGAGTCTGCGGAGGGGGGCGCTGTGGTGGAGCTCTGGCAGGAGGCTCGCGAGAGCGGCCCGCGGAAGAGCTAGCGCGGCGGGGCAGAAACAAATTCATCGCCTGAGTAGCTTTCTGGACCTCAGAAAAGCGATCGACGATTCCCGTGACAGCAGATCCAAAAAGGCCCGTCGGGGAGAGGGGCGCGTTAAGAAACGCGGCGCGCTCAGAGTCTCCCATGTCGGCGAGCCTGAGCCATAAGTGTCTCTCGGCAACACAAAGGCTGGCCATGCATCTCCCCAGAGCTTGTGCGGCGGCTTTAGTGGCGCGAAGGGCGAGGTCCGTAGCACTTCTCAGATCCGTGACAGCGGGGGAGGGGTTTCTACCGCCTTCGGCCCACTCACGGAGAATATCTCTCT